CCAAAAACTAGTACATCTAAATTTATATGTTATAGAAAAATATTAAATACAAATTTTAAAAAGAGGAAAAATCAAGAGAAGCTAATTTCAATTGGTTAAAATTTTGTAGGTTGTAATATTTTTTGCAATATTTTGCTTGAATTTAATTGTTTTATCTTTCAATTTCTAATATGTTTGGTGGCTAAAAATATTTTTTATAAATATATATGTTTAATAAATGTGTTTTGTTTAAAAGCACTAAATACATATATTCAATGAGAAATTGCATAATTGAGTGAACTCAATTATGCTGAACACTGTACCTTTAGGGTTCACCTTTGTATCTTTAATGTACTATGAGCTACACATTTGTGCTTTATGTATCAATATGTACCTTTAAGGATCTATTAGGGAAAAAAATTACCTTCTGACCACCCCAGTGTCAGATTTTGTATCTTTATTTCTGAGAGTGTAGCGAGGAACTAAATCTAAAAACAAAAGTTTTAATAATAATAAGACATAGAAAGATAATTCATTATTATTACTTTGTGAAGTATATTATTTTCAAAAAGCATTCATTTAGCTGTGCAGTTACATGATATGATGGTAATGTTTCTAACATAAAACAGTAAAAGGTTAATTGACTGTCAGACCAGATCTGAAAAGACCAAATACATAAATGCAGTGACATTTTGTGTTGTATAGATACAGTAATTCACTTTTTTACTGCTTGATTTAATGTATCCATGTAATTATTGTAGTGTTAAGTCTGATTTTATTGCATATTCAAAATATCAGGTATAAATTACACACAATAACTCAGAGCATGGTGGCACAGGGCTCAGCGGTTAGCACTGTCGCCTCTCTGCAAGAAGATCGAGTCCCAGTTGGACCAGTTGGTTTTTCTGTGCGGAGTTTGCATGTTCTCCCTGTGTTCGTGTGGTTTCCACAGCTCACAGACATGCCCTACGGGTGAATTAGTTAAACAATGTCTGTGTATGTGTGTGTGTGTGAATGTGAGAGTGTATGGGTATTTCTTAGTACTGGGTTGTGGCTAGAAGGACATTTGCTGAGTAAAACATATGCCAGAATAAATGGTGGTTCATTTCTCTTTTGCCACCTCTGATGATCAGGGACAAAGTCAAAAGAAAATGAATGAATGAATGAATGAATGAATGAATGAATGAATGAATGAATGAATGAATGAATGAACTCAAGAGAGTCATTTTTTTATTCATCAAACATTTTAATTGTATTATTTTAACTCAGTTTGCATATGAACTTGTCATTAGATCCATGCATACAAAGAGTGGAGAGAAAGAGATAGAGGGAGAAAAGATAAAACATTTAAAAAAAAGACAAAGACAAATAAATAAAAAAGGGAAAAAGGGAGAGAAAGAACACAGACCCTAAAGCAAAGGAATCCCATACTTACATATTTGTAGGGGATTGTGGGAAAGCAGCAATCCAGGAGTATTGCTTTCTCAAATGGAGAGTAACAGTGTCGAACCGGGTGAGGTCATTTCAAAGCAGTAAACTCCATAGAAAACTCTTTTGGTAGAGTGTTTGTAAAGTTTTGGTCACAATAGTGGCCAGGCATTGAAGATATGCTGATGTTCGTGGTATCATTTTGACAAACGTCATTCTTCATTCGCCACTGAATGATAAACATCAGTGAAACACAGTCAATATATATTTTTATATACAGTAATAGAGTGCATTAGTGCCCATCCATTTTTTTCAGCAGAGTTCCAGAAGCATTTTTGTCCATTCATTTTTCCCATTGGGACTTTTAAAATGTCTTGATTAGACCCTTATAGTCCTTAAACCAAACCAACTAGCAAAGTGAAAGACAAAATTACAAACTTTGACTTGAAGCAAACATGTACAGTTAAAGTCAGAATTATTAGCCCCCCATTGATTTTTTTTCTTTTTTTAATATTTCCCAAATGATGTTTAACAGAGCAAGAAAACCATCAAAGTATGTCTAATAATATTTTTTTTTCTGCCGGAGAAAGTCTTACTTGTTTTATTTCGGCAAGAATAAAAGCAGTTTTTGATTTTTTAAAACCTTTTTAATGTCAAAGTTATTAGCCCCTTTAAGTAATATATTTTTACGATAGTCTACAGAACAAACCATCATTATACAATAACTAGCCTAATTACTAACCTGCCGAGTTAACCTAATTAACCTAGTTAAGTCTTTAAATGACACTTTAAGCTGTATAGACGTGCCTTAAAAAAATATGTAGTCAAATATTATTTACTGTCAGTTATTAGAACAGAGTTATTTAAACTATTGTTTAGAGATGTGCTGAAAAAAATTATTTGTGCTAAACAGAAATTGGGGAAAAATTAAACAGGGGGCTAATAATTTAGGGGGGCTTATAATTCTGACTTCAACTGTAGGATTAAAAGACGAAGGTACAGTTGTGTTCAATAGCTTTGCTGAGAAAAAATTACAATACCATTAGGTGATGAACTCGAATTAAAAGTAGAGTTCCCTGATAAAACCACAAATGTCTCTGTGATTTAAACAAGTTTAAAGATGCAGAAAACAGGAGAGTCATTGAAAACAATCCATTTAGAAGCTTTTAAATATTTAAACTACTAACGTTTACGATCGATTTATTGTATCACTTAATACAAAGTCCTGCCATAAAACTCTATTGGGCGCACAGTCTGATACAGTAGGTCATATCCCATTTGCTGTTTAATAGTTCACACAAAAATGAAAGTTTTTGTCCAATTGATCAGACAAAAATGCATTTTGAAAAACCTGTGACAATTGATTTCCAAAGTATTTGATTTTTTGCATGTCATTACCGCAGCGTACCCCCACCAAAGTTCTCGATTCACTGCAAAAAGGTCGCTGGTCTGTGTCCCAGCTGGCATTTCTGTGCGGAGTTTGCATGTTCTCACCATGTTTGTGTGGGTTTCCTCCGGGTGCTCCCTATATGCCCTACTGTATAGGTGAATTGGATGAACTAAGTTGCCTGTAGTATACGAGTGTGTGTGTGTGAATGTGAAAGTGTTTGAGTGTTTTCCAGTATTCTGTTGCAGCTAGAAGGGCACCCACTGCGTAAAACATTTGCCAGAAAAGCTGGTGGTTAATTCCGATGTGGTGACCCCTAATAAATCAGCGACTAAACTGAAGGAAAAGTGATGAATATTTGTTTTATATGCAAAAATGCTATGTAAAGTACTATGAATGTCAGTGGTCACAGGTTTGCAACATTCTTCAAAATATATTCTTTTGTGTTCAACGGAACAAAAAACCCAAATGAGTTTCGAACAAGTTGAGAGTAAGTGATGGGAATTATTATTACTGATACTATTATTTATTGTATTATTATTATTATTATTAGTAGTAGTAGTAGTAGTAGTAGTAGTAGTATTTAATAATAATGTGATGTGAACTATTCTTTTAAATATATCAGTGTCATCTCAGTGTGTTAACAGTCTGCAGCACATTTTTCTGATCCCTTCCCTCTTCCGCAGCTCCCCTTTTGTACAGATCTGCTATGGGGATTGCATGTACATAATGTTTATATAATGCAGCATGAGTGTGTTATGTTCCCAGACATCATGTCTGTAATAGCAAGTCACAGTACTTGCTCTGAACCAATGCTCAAAGCAGTAGCAGCAGCAGGAGCAGCATAGCAGATCTATGTCACACATCAACACCGCCATATACGTACTCATTGCATATGAAATCTCTCAAAGAGTTAATAGCAGAACTGTAACAATAATGTTTTAGTGAACTGTATAATAGTATGGATATAGTCATTAATTATAGTCCTTTATAACTTTCTTGCGTATAAGGATTTACCTTGATAATAACTTAGATATTAATTTGTTGTACTACTGTTTTTCATAAAAATAAAATACAAAATAGAAATTTTTTACCAATTTACCATGTAAGTGGTTTAAAAATACTATGCAAGTTCAATTGTTCACTTTAATCCTAACTCAAACAGTCAGAATTTTCATTTTCCCTTTAAAATATAATAAATTAAGTTCTTACATTTTTTAAAAACAAATTGGGCATTTTTAAGACATAAAAACACTATTAATTTGTGAAATCTTCACATTGTTTGTCATTTATTATGGTTTTTTTAAAGTAGCTGGATGTAATAAAAATGCACCTTTACCACAATAATTATTAGCAATGACTGATAAAAATATAAATGTGATCATATTTTGGCTATATTGCAGAGCCCTATAGTTCTAGCCACTAGTAGTGGATGTATCTGTGTGAAATACTCCAGATTTGGATGTCTTTTTATCTACTGATATAGCTAACAGTGGATGTGTCCATAATATGGAGCCAGATCAGTCTAAAAAATAATACATTTACATAACAAAATTCATGCATGTACTGCACAATTCACATTTACAAAATTTAGTAAATTCACAATTCAGAAATACAACACACAATTTGTGTTACAAGTCACAAGTAAAAATCATACATATTTTTGCAATGAATTGGATTTGCTCTTTTTTTTATATTTATTTATTTATTTATTTTTTGAATTTACAAACTAGTTTTGTGTTTTTGAGTCTGTTTTGAATTTTGTTTGTTTATTTAAAAATCGTGTATGGAAATTCTAAATTAGATTTTTTTTATTTACGAAGAGTGTTTTAAATTTATAAATTGGATTTGTGTATGTTACGAATTTTGTTTTGAACTTACAAATTAGATCTGCGTATTTTTGAATCGTGTTTTGAATTTACAAATTAGATTTGTTTATTTACGAATTGTGTTTTGAATTTACAAATTGGATTTGTGTATTTTACAAATTGTGTTCTGTAAATATAGTATTACTTTGAGACTGATCTGACTCCATACCCATCTTGGTTGTCCAACTTGTGTATTGGAACATGGTCAACTTAGCTGTAAAAATAAGATTACTATAGTTCCCTGCAAGCTCTTTTTGTGCAATATTCTCACTGCAAATATCTGATTGGTGGATTTTTGTGTGTAGCATCATGGGTAATGTACTTTTCCACGCAAATTGTGCAGTTAAAAATAATAATTTAATGATTTAAATGAAGTGCTTACTTTAAAAAAAAAAAGCATCAGATGGCTATAACTAAATAATTTAGCATTGATTAACAACCTCAGCAAGAGGTTTATATAATTTTGTTTAAATCCCGGTGGAGAAAATGAACAGAGTTTTTACTTCTGGAAGCTTGACAGCTGCACTCTAAGAACCATTCATTCCTTCATATTTGTTTTTTGTTCTCTTCAGACAAAGACAATTCATATAAAACCATTACATAAAGTATGTCTTACATAGATTTCTCAATATAGTTACTGTAAACATTAAAACAAGGTATTCATACATACAAGTACTTCTGACCAACAATTTACAAAAAGTGCTTTATAAAAGACAATGATAATAACTTCCTGTTTGCTTCGATTGTGTTGAGGCAACAAATCACAGTTTCAGGGCTAAACACGGCTTCCATATTTGGTTATCAGTTTTTTGTTTCCTAAATAAAATTTGCTTATTTGAGTTCACCTCACATGTACACCTCAAACCGAGTCCACCTTCACCTGATTGTTGTTGGTCATGAGTGGGGAAGGTTTGCTTTTCAGTCTTTCCTGCGCTTCATTTGAACTTTCCCCAAAGAAGATTCTTGCAGTACATACGGAAACCACAATGCGTTTGTACTCTCGACGGAAGTTCTGGTTCAACACTCCATAGACGATTGCATTGAGGCAGCTGTTGAAGTACGCCATGAAATAACTTGCCACAAAGAGCCATTCGGGTATTAAAGGAACAACCCGCTCTGGAGAAATCGCTACCGCCAAACCGATGAAGTTTAATGGTGCCCAGCACACGGCAAAAAGCACAAAAACCACAAACATTGTGACAAAGTTTCGCACATCATGAGGTGTGATCTTGGGACGATTGTCAGGCTTGACTCGCCTTCGCACCTGTATGACCAAAACCCAGATCCGCAGGTAGCAGTAGGTAACGATCATGATGGGAAGGATAAAGTGGAAGAAGACCACGGCGATGGTGTACGCCGAGCTCGCCGACTGCTCGAATGTACAGGAATAAACCCGTGGGTCATACTGCAAGGAGCCCACAAACAAGTTGGGCACGATAGCGAGCACCGTCAAAGCCCAAATTAACAGTACGTAGCAGACTGAGTTTTTGTCACTGTACAGCTTGTCATACTTGAGGCTGTGGCATATATAGCAGTAGCGATTAATTGCGATGCCGGTGATGTTGAAAATGGAGCCGATTACACTGACGCCCATTAGAAAGCCACTGATCTGGCAGTGCATGTAGCCCAGGTTCCAGCCCCGGTGAAATATGGAGGTCAAGACCAGCGGATATGGGTAAATGGCCACCACCAGGTCCGCCACTGCCAAACTCACCACAAAAATGTTACCTGTGGGACACACAAACAAAAAGAAATAATGGGTTTTGGCATTGACACACTTTACTAAAATCTTGCAAAAAGTGACAACATCATTGTCCCCTTGATTTGTCTATTAAAAAAAAAGGAGTTTGAATACACTGAAAATTTTACAGATTACTAGCCAGGGGTGCATTTCCGTCGTTACAAACATAGTTTGTTGATTTGCGGTTTCCCAAATCTGTCGTTTCACAAACTGCATCGCAAACTTGTACGCTTGAAACTAAACCTCTAGAGCTATAGCTAGAATCCTAGTTCCTGGTTGTGTTCTATTCTCCGTTATCCCAATATGCCCTATTCATTTAGACCAGTGGTGCTCAACCCTGTTCCTGGAGATCGACCTTCCTGCAAAATTCAGCTCCAACCCTGATTAAACACACCTGAACCAATTAATTAGGACCTGAACAGCACTTGATAAATACAGGCAGGTGTATTTGATATGGGTTGCCACTGAAATCTGCAGGGAGGTCGATCTCCAGGAACAGAGTTGGTCACACCTGATTTAGACCATTCTAACATTTAAACTTGGAATGATAAAAAATTATTAAAGTCATCTCTCTAATTTGCTTTCAAAGTACTTTTACAGTTCAGTTCATTTTGTATACAGTTCATACAGTTATATAATGATAATAATATTAATTATTATTATTATTATTATTATTATTATTATTATTAAATAGTTTTTTTTTCATTTCTTAATAAGCAGCCCACCATAAATTGGGCCTACAACCATTAACAACTGATATGATTTATGATGAGATCAGAATAAGTGTTAGCTACGTGATTTTATATAGTATATTCTTAATAATATTTTTAAAAGAAACATATATAGGTCCTTTATGTGTCTTTTACATATATTTCAATAAACATAGAAAACGAGTGCATGTTTTTATCAAAACTAATATTGTTTTTTTTTTTTAAATGAGTGCATGTAAAACAATAATTTGCACAAAAAATTATGGGGTTTTACTACTTTAAGAAGTAGTTACTCCACCCCGTTTAGAACATCATTACAAACATTTTACTCTATAACTAACATGGTTCAAATGATGGATCTGCGACAGAGAAACTATGCTTTTAAGAAACACTCATCACTACATTGTTCTTTTCCCAAACGATACATTGTACTATGATAGTTCAGCCGCGAATTCTGTCATTGTTACTGTCTTTCATTGATTAAATAACTCGTTTAACAAAGGATTTAGAAACCATTATAGGTGTAAAAACAATATTGAAAGCAACATTTGCTTACTATTTTATTTGATCAATTTAGCCATTCATGTACAATAGTTTTTAAAAGTCAAATGGCTCTATTTTAACGATCTAGGTGCAGTCTGAAGCACAAAATACATTAAGGGTGTGTCCGAATCCACTTTTGCTTTTTAAGGATGGAAAAATACAGTCTGCAACCTAGTGCATGTTCTAACAGGGTTGGGCTTATTCTCTTGATGAGTTATGGGTGTGTTTTGAGTATAACATGCATTAAATCAATCAGAGTCTCCCATTCCGAGTCTCTATGGCGCGACAGTTAATGGTGTCGCGCCATAGAGCATTTGCTATTTACACAGCAGATTTAGTAAGTTAAAAAACTGGATGCTTCACTAGCGGGAAAATAGTTATACAAACCATCTGTAGCGCAAGGACAAAGAATGAGCCTCCTCCATTTGGCCTCTTTAATTTCTCTTCCTCTTTACTCTCACTCTTTACTCCTTTATTTTCTTGGATAAGGAAACGGTGTTGTTCCCACACCACTGAAGACATCCAAAAGCCTACATATTTAATTCTGTTTGTTAAGCTCAAAGATTTGCAGCAAACTATAATAAATGAACAATAATAACAGAGTGTGGTCAAAAAAGTTATATCCAAACAGGTTATATTCTTATGGCCCAGATGGTCATGCATATGTCTCCAAAACCTGACAAGTGGAAAAAAAAAAACTTTTTATTAAAGCAAATATAAATATGCATGTAATGAATAATACTGCTAACAATAATAACATTATGTGAAGGCAAATTGTCATGAATAAACTGAAAAAGTCCCCTCAAGGTGAAGACATGCAGGTAGTAGTTTTTGTATTTATGTAGAAAATAATAATACTTGTAACATTGTAATCCTTATTTTTTTTTTGATATGTAAAGATATTAATGTGTTACTGTACATCCTGTGTGCATTGACCTGCATGGGAGCATAATCAACGCGCTCAGCGCTGGACTTTAAACTAGCTTTCAGTTGGTCAGTTTCAGTGTCTCAAAAATAGCAACGTGCCAACAATGTGGCTTCACAAACCTCCTTTAGACTGAAACAAAGTGGCGCAAATGGATTTGCTATTTAATGGACTTGTTATTTAAACAACATGGCGCAAAAAATAAAAATTAGGGTTGCGCTGGTCTGAAAATAGCAACAAATCGTGTCAAACACATCTTGCCCCTTATTGTGCCGGGTGTTTGGTAGGGCCTAATGTAAAATGGAATAACATTAGACCCTGTTTGACTTGAATCCTTTGATATATACTTAAAACTAATTCATTTATATAGTTAAAATTCTCATGTTCATGGCATTCATTTATTGGTCATGCACCAACATGTAAAAAAATCATTGCTATTTAAATTTAACATTTATTTCATGCAAAGATATATATTTTTTTTTTGTTTTTTTATATTTTTTGTAATAATGAAACATATATATTGTTTATAATTCTTAATTTACAGTGAAAAATCTTAATGATTTATGCTTTAGGGTGTATCAATTTCTTAAGCATATGTCCAAAGTTATAACCAAATAATTCATCCCTAAATGGATTTTGCTGTTAAACAACATCAACAAAACATTTTTCTAAAGTATATTGTAGTCTCATGTAATGGAATCAAATGCACAGAGTTCCCACCTCAGTGTGCTATAAATATTTTTCAGCTTTTAGATGCATCCTACGTAGCAGCTCTTCCATTTTATCAGGAATGGAATGGAATATGTTTACTAAGTCTTTCAGGAATCCAATAAAAATTTTATTACCCTATAAGCATGAGCTGCACTCTAAACATTTGCATCCATTTATCTACAGAATGTGCGCTCTACATAAAGGGGGCTGCACATGTGTGTTTATAACTGTGTGAATGTGCACTTATTAATTAGTTTCCCCCATTGTGTGGATGGTTAGACACAGCCAATAGCTGATGGCTGCATTAGAGAAAGAGTTCGGGCGGTTTTAATGAATGCACATCTCTAATTGCCGCCAGGCACGAGGACTTGACATTGTGTGTAAAGCTGAAATAATTAACTTTGTAATCAAGAGGGAAACACTAAAGGCGGCTGCAGCTGCAGTTGCACTTTTATATAGCTTTGAAGCGTGTGTAAGAAAACACATTAAATTACACTTTATGTCTCATACACTGAAATGCACAAAATGAAAAGGGAAATAAAGGTGTACTGTTTGTGTATAGTAGAGTTCAGGGAGCAGGCAAACTCTGTCGGTTTAAATCCAGATTAAAGACATTTGATTGCACTAGTATACACATAAAACACAAATACATAACTTTGAAATCCAAACCCTCTAAAGCAGGGGTGCCCGATCTTTTTCTATAAAAGGCTAAAAACCAAAGTTGAGTAAGAGCTGTGGGCCGAAGCTAAATATACCAAAGCGTATTACATTAAATTAGACATGAGTAATTTCCTAATTTATTTCATTCATTCATAGATTTTCTTGTCGGTTTAGTCCCTTTATTAATCCACTGTCGCCACAGAGGAATGAACTGCCAACTTATCCAGCAAGTTTTTATGCAGCGGATGCCCTTCCAGCCGCAACCCATCTCTGGGAAACATCCACACACACATTCTCACACACACACTCATACACTACGGACAATTTAGCAAACCAATTCACCTGTACCGCATGTCTGTGGACTGTGGGGAAACCGGAGCACCCGGAGGAAACCCACAAGAACGCAGGTAAAACATGCAAACTCCACACAGAAACACCAACTAGCGACCTTCTTGCTGTGAGGCGACAGCACTACCTACTGCGCCACTGCTTCGCCCTCCTAATTTATTTGTTAACATTTGAACCTAACTAGAAAGCATTGTTTAAAACACAATAATTAATGTTGCAGTAGAATTTTTAGCATTTTATAATGAACAGATAATAGTAAAAACACAAACAATCTCATTTATAACACAGAGGAGTTCAATGCTGAATACACTAGTTGAGCTGCTCCTGGCTTTGCCTCATTTTGCTCGCCGATGTCTCATCTTCTGTCTGTCAAGTGACAGTAGTTACATTTTAAAAGTCTGATTCATTTACCTTTAAATTAAATATTTAATTTTAGTTGGCTTTTTTTTGTAGCTCCTCAAGTAAACAAAGGTTAAATCTTAATGACTATCTGTGTCAAAGACATTCGTCCCAATCAACTCCCCATCATTCTCTCTCTCTTTTCAGATGCAATGGTAGGTCCAAACCAAATGTTACTATGGACCAACTTTGGCTAGGGGCCCTACTTTGGGCACCTCTGCTCTAAAGGATTGTTAGGGTGTATTAAACAGGACAACTGCAACTGGGATCACTTCCCAGGAAAACAAAGATGGAATGGCATCTACGCTCATGTTAGTATGCCTGTTTCTCTTTATCCAGAGGTTCACATAATTGTGAATCTGGCCAGTATCCAGAGCAGATGATTACTGTAGTCATTGATGGGTCAAGAGTGTTCTTTACTTCCATCAACCATTTTGTTTCCTTGCAACTGTCACCTTCAGTGGAGCTTTTCCTCAGTGACTCTGCTTACAATAGTATCTATACTAAACTGAACAGAATATGTTTTAAGTTTGCCAGAACTACAGAACATCTACTGTGTTGTACAAAAATATTGTCATAGACAGATTGGGGTGACACGACAGCTCAGTGGTTAGCACTGCCGCCTCACAGCAAGAAGATTGGTGGTTTGAGCCCCAGCTAGGCCTGTTAGCATTTCTGTGTGGAGTTTGCA